AGTTGCCCTTATTTTAAGATAATGGTCCAAACAAGCGGGGTACATTGTTTTTGGTAGCATATTTTGGTAGCACAGTGAATGGTATCAGCCCAGGAGTCATTTTATAAGTATAGTAAACACCCGCTGAATAAAAACCGCACCACAAACGTTTAACCTTATAACCCACTAAAGAAAAATAAAAAACGAAGAGCAATTTTAGTTTAAGTTTCAATTACATAACACTTTTGAAAACAAACCTTGAGAATTATTTGAAATCGGTGAACTCAGAGTTCCCTTGATGGCTTACACTTATTTTATATTAACATGTATACAGTGATTGGTAGATTCAAAACATTTGAAGCTAGTGCATGAGATCCAGCGTAGATAATGGCTTTCGATTGGACGTGCTCATTATTTTTTCAATCAATATCAAGTGTTCCCTTATTTGAAACTGATAAAGGTCCAACCAAACATCTGGTTTGTAAGTAAATTTCTTTGAGTATAGTAAGCATTGCAGTTTTTTTTCTGTATCTAGTAAATGGAACGAAGTCAATCGCCTCATAATACTATATTTGAGACCATGATCTTTAGATATTCAGAAAAGTTTTCCTGGGGAAAGATATCTCATAAAGTTACCCTCAACAGACTCCTGCTTGACAAGACTGATTTTGAACTACAACCGCTTAATTTAATATTCATCCAAAATCTATGCGCCCTTTTCTGATTGACTTAAAGGCCAACTGATGCTTACCGTATTTGGAAGATGCGAGCAACATACCATCGATTCGATGGTATACATTTCATTGGAAACGAGGGAAATAGACCATCGATCAACCTTCATTCTTCACTTGAACGAAATTCAATTAAAAGTTGTATTAATTATATTGAATCTTACCCAATAAAATGTGGTGATATTTCAAAGGAGAATTTGTAAGACATAAAAAAGGCGTCTCTTCGAGGAGAATGTTTAACGAGTTCTAGTGCAATTAAACCTCAAAAGAACCACAATAAATCATACTAGTAAATCTCTATGTTAGAATATGCAGGGTACAGTGTTTTATTAGCATATTTTTGTAGCACTGCGTTGAATGGTTTGAACCCAGGAGTCATGTCAACCGATATAAGTTAAGTAAACACCCGCGAATAAGAACCTACTTATTTTAAGTCTGGCAAAAAAGGTTCTTGTATTTTGGGGTACTTATTGAAACACCTGTGGGAGACCGCTGCGTGAGGGAAATATGCTCACTTTAATAAATCAAGAAACCTTACATATAGCCTACTTAATTAAATATGTCATTGAAGCAGTACGTAACGCTAGTCCTAATGACAAACGGCAATTTTTACTTGACACTCGTCACACCTTCCCTCTTACAAAAAAGAGATAACAACACGAATTAGCATTTATTAACCAACAGCTCAATTTATCCCTAACTTTTACTACAAAACTCAGAGTTCTGGGCAGAGTTCTCAAACCTTCTCTACAGAGTCCTAAGTTAGAACGAAATCAAGACAAACGTAATCGCAAGCTAGGTTAAAGAAAAAAACTACGTAGNTACTTGACACTCGTCACACCTTCCCTCTTACAAAAAAGAGATAACAACACGAATTAGCATTTATTAACCAACAGCTCAATTTATCCCTAACTTTTACTACAAAACTCAGAGTTCTGGGCAGAGTTCTCAAACCTTCTCTACAGAGTCCTAAGTTAGAACGAAATCAAGACAAACGTAATCGCAAGCTAGGTTAAAGAAAAAAACTACGTAGAATTAGAACAAAATTGTGAAAAACCGTAAACGCACGTTGGTTTAGAACAAAGTCTTGAAATCTTTTCGGGGACCTTCTTTCTCTCTGCGGTCTTCGAAGATCAGTTGGCGGCACATAAGATGGCAAAGAAAATGGAGTTTCCTGTTGACCTAATTTAATGGGTGTTGGCACTCGCTCAGGAACAGACTCGTGCGCATTTGACACAGATGCATCGGTCGCAGGAAAATGTGCTCTAGGGAGTTCCGCATTACTGCGACTGGACTGAGGAGTAGCAGGCTAATTAGGTTGATCAGTAACCGGAGTTTCCCTAGTGCTCAACAGGTCACGACGATTATGACGGCAAAGGGCATCATCAGTCTTTACAAGGAAATTGCGAGGACCTGTAAACCTCACGCACGTAGCAGGTGACCACACCTTCTCAACTGGACGCCTCACACGCAGAGTGTCACCGAAGCTGATTCGCGTGCCGATCGTAGTAGCCCTTTTGGTGTTATTTTTCCTTTCGGCCAACGCACGCAGATCACCACGCAGTAACTTGGTTGTAAAGGGGACTCTGACATCGGAAGTAACGAACGGCATCGACGTCCCATCAAGTGCTGTGCCGAGCTGGTATCCATCCCCTCAGGGGGCGTATTCGCCAGTCAAGTGGAGCTTCAAATTCTGACATACCGGTTTCTTTGCATTTCTCAAACAGACGCTTCACTGTCCGCACAGCGTTTTCGGCTTTACCATTTGACTGAGTAAAACTTAGTACAGAACGAACACTCTCTATCCTGAACAACATGCCAGAACTCGGCGAGGAGGATGTTGAACTGGCCTAGCCGACTTATCCAGCACCATGTGATATTCGCCTGCAAGAGCACCTACACCATCAGTAAAGACACGAGGAAACCTCTTAAACAGCTGGTAAGCGGAGACCTGGTCGGTTCAACTGGTCGTTGTGTAGATACGTAATAATGTTCATTCCAAGGCACGCTTTAATGACCAGAATAGGCCTAACTCTCTTGCTTTCTACGAAATTGCAGACAAGCAGGCATTTGAAATCTCCACGCCATACACGCGAAGGACCTTTCCCGAGGATAGGAATTGAAGTACCACCATAGGAATAATCGCCGTATTGACAGCGGTCACATTGCGCAGATCAAAATCTTTGGTCACCTTCTTGTACAGATGCAAAGGGACAACATTGCATTGAGCTCCTGTGTCGGGCTGAAACCAATGATAATATCCTTATTCCAACTTCAGCGTTACCAGTTGAGAATCATCTGGCGGGAGACGTGGGCTTAGGCGCGTGTCTACAACACACGTTCGCGAAATGTTTTTTCATGCCACACTTATTGCAGCTCTGTCCATAAGCCGGACAATTCTCACGCTTCACTAAACCATGCTCACGTCCGCAAAATGCACAACTATATTATTTTCCCACGCGCCAGTATTTCTCGAGCCACGACCGCGCCTACGTCTCCCTCTTTTAGCCTCTCTAGACACAGTATTCATAGTTCGCGCATCTGCAACGCTTAAACCGACATCACCGACAACCTTCATCTGCTGTACCATGGTCTCATGAGAGCGACAAATCTCGTCCGTTTTCTCTAAGGACAATTCAAATTATTCGGGGTAATCGATTCAAATTCGCACCTTTCTGCGAACTGCCGAAGAGCTGTCCGACAATGATAGTAAGACTCTCCCGATTCTTGCATTCTACAATAAAANGCGAAATGTTTTTTCATGCCACACTTATTGCAGCTCTGTCCATAAGCCGGACAATTCTCACGCTTCACTAAACCATGCTCACGTCCGCAAAATGCACAACTATATTATTTTCCCACGCGCCAGTATTTCTCGAGCCACGACCGCGCCTACGTCTCCCTCTTTTAGCCTCTCTAGACACAGTATTCATAGTTCGCGCATCTGCAACGCTTAAACCGACATCACCGACAACCTTCATCTGCTGTACCATGGTCTCATGAGAGCGACAAATCTCGTCCGTTTTCTCTAAGGACAATTCAAATTATTCGGGGTAATCGATTCAAATTCGCACCTTTCTGCGAACTGCCGAAGAGCTGTCCGACAATGATAGTAAGACTCTCCCGATTCTTGCATTCTACAATAAAACTTGTATCTTTCAAAAGGCACTTTTTTAAGTGGCTGGCAGTACGCTGCAAACTTTTGTAACACTGGCTGAATCTGGTCGGTGTCGCTCGCCTAATCCGTAAACGTAGCAAAAACTTTTCGCGCTTCAGCTCCGATTACGTAAGCAATGTTGCTACCAATATTGTACGGCTTCGGGTTTCTGGTGCAACTTCATGGCAATCGAGTAATTCTTCCAGGCTTGCTCAAACTCCTTCCATTTTTCTGCTGCGTTCGAATTACGAACATCAAACGGTTGAGGAGGTGGTAAAGCAAACAAAGCACCTCTCACAGTATCTGTCGACCAATTCTGCAATGCACCGGCCGCTTCCCTGCCTTCGCCTCCCGGCATCGCGAGAAAAAAAAAGGAAAACACGTAGGTTCGCTATAAGATTCCTGACGCCATGATTAACACTTGTGGGAGACCGCTACTTGAGGGAAATATACTCACTTTAAAAAGTATAGGTAATAGCATGATTTGTATTGATTTTTGGCATAAATACCACGAGTGATATTTCGAAATTGTTATACGTAATTTCACGAGCCGTTAATAAGAGACCTGGTTAAATAAAACATACAAAAAATGTAATTCAGCAAGATCAGGGAACAAGCCCTTGCATAGCCTGCAGTGCAGACGTTTTCTTTGAGCGCGCAATTTGCTCGCGAAAGCCCCATGTTGAAACTTCCCGAAGACGGGAAGAGATGGGGCGAGTCAAAGGGAGCGGGGAGGGGGCGGGGAGAGAGAAGAGAAAACGCCTGCCCTAAAACACTGTGAAAATGAGAAACACCCCCTAATTAAACGGTACCTAATTAGACACGCGTGACCGCTCTTCCGGAAGTGAGTAGCCGACAATAACAAAAAAACCCATCAGTCGCTCCAGTCCAAAGACTCGCATTGTCTTAAGAAAAACAAGCTGGAGTTTATCATTGTTTTTATCTTGACTGAGTCACAATGCAATTCTCCATAGCTGATGAAGCTTCTTTTTAAGCTGCAATTGATTCTTCTAAATTCGTCTCTGTAAATCGTTATCCGTGCGAGTTTAACATTCTTTAAACAATTTCAAAAACTAACGAGCTGGGCGCGGCGTTATACAACATTGCGGGAGAACATCACATTCTCGGACTAGAAAGAAAATCGCTCAGTTATTCAGATCAACACACTTGAGACAAAAATAAAGACCCTAACAGCCTTATTTAGCGACAAAAAGAGCTTTACGCTTCAAAAGAGGTCAAAGAAAACGCTCTTGCATCAGACGGCAAATCATGAAGACCAGAAATTCAAAAACCACAGAAAATCAATAAGCTTGTCATGACCTCTCAGTGTGAAACAAGCGGCTAAAATCACATTTGCTCAGTCAAAACATAGAAGCCTCTAGAGTATAATCTACTCGCCAGAAAAAAAAAAAAAAAAACGTATTGGAACAAGCAGCACTTTGGCATGAGGTAAAAGTGGTGTAGGTTTTAGTACTGCGAGCAAATCTTGTCCTGATGACCAGTGTAGAAATCGCTTTGACTTTCTCATTGCGTAATATACGCGACATTCCCAGCCACTCCAATTCCAAAAGACTCACGGAAACGGAATAAACAATATAGACTTACAGTTAAATGACAGGCATCAATCTACTTCCTTATGCCGCACCAATCAGGGGCTCCGTTTGCCAGCGTACGGAGTTTCCCAAAAGAATAATGATATCGGGCAGGCGTATTTTTTTTCTCCCCTCCCCCTCCCCCTTCCCCCCTTTCCTTCTTTCGCCCTCGCACCTACCTTAAGGGTTACTATTTCTACTCTCCCCAATCTTCCACTGTCATAAAATAAAACATGGCGGCTACAACAATATTACGAACACGAACAAGGTTTCGCCCACCCAAAATACGCCTGAATTGCAGGCTAGCCCTTGCACAATGCCTGCTCAAGGTCCAAAGTGTCACAGATGCACCTATTACAATGAAAAGGGTCTTTATGAGTTTTGATATACGAAAAGCAATCAAGAGTAAAGACAGAGCAATGAGGACAGAGTAGGCGACAATGTCATATTTCAAGTCTATGATCTCGTAAATCGGTAGTAATTTCAGTGCAACCAGAGGGATTCCAACAAACCAAACCATTGTGGCGATAGATCCCGCCCCCCAACCCAAAGAAAAAACAGTGAAAGCACTTGCAGTAAATATGAAGAGCGATAAGACACTGAAAACGACACTTAAAATCGCCTTACTAATCGTATCAGACAAAACACATTAAAATGAAGTTTGAGGTGTTTTAATGCAGAGAAAAGTTAGCGTTTTGCAGACCCTCTAGACAACTAGAATCTGCTGAGTTGTTAACTGGGTGTAGCTGAGCCGCGTTTTGCCAAAGCCAATAGCGATCCTCTCATTAAAGAAATACAAAGTATACGGACTACTAAGGCCAACAGCTAGTAATATCTATGATAAATAGAAGATGGATTATTAAGTTAACCGTGCTATGAATTGAACCGAAAGAAAGGTAATAGATTAGGTCTTGGCTTTAATTAAGAATGATGAAAGCATACAATGTGTTTACAAGGATTACGCACAGATGACTCTGTTAAAAGTATATTAAAACTTTGAACTCAACTATCAAAAAGTTAATTACTTTTATGTTAATTACACATATCTTGTTTATCTAAATAAAGGAAAACATTGAAAAGTACCGTCTGTCCTTCTTTGTCAAAAAAGGAAAAATTAAAAAAGACATTAGACGTTCAAATCTTTGTTTGTGGTGTTATCTTCGGCCCCATAATAATATCCTCAATTTACTACGTATTTTTTCCGCTGCTTTCGAATTTTTACAAGTCTAAATCGTCTAAGACTTTGTCTGAACATAGGCATTCTTATACTGTAAATCAGTGGATTTGCGACGGAATTACACATATGAATTATAGTTAAAACATATTTCACAAATTCAGGAAACATTCCTGGAGAGAAATAAAGACAAGAAAATAAAACAAGGCTTGGAACCCAAAAGGCAGCAGATGCTCCTGTCATAAGGAATAAAGTTTTGGAAAGTTTTCTTGTGTTTTGCTCAAATATTTGTCGCTGATGTGTTGTTTCCATCGTAGGGTCATTGCGATTAAGTTTTTTTCGGATTGCTAGGTATGATGTGCACATCGTTGCTAGTGATAAGACGATTACGATTTAAAATGTGAGGGTATAGTGAGAAATCTCAAATATTCCGTAGCTAACCAGCCAGGTTAATGAACCCAAAGAAACACCTGCTAACCAAGCGGCGACGACACCGTAGATGAACGTCTTCGTGCTTGTTGTTCGGTGAAGAAGCGGCCAAATCAAAGCAAATGCACGTTCGAGAGAAATAAGAACCAGAAAGAACATCGATGTACTTAAAAATGTAACTTGAAATTGGATTACAAGATAGTCATAAGTCGTGACATTAAGTTTAGATTTTTTAATGTAACTAGGAAGTACTAACGCCGTCACATATGGTGTCATGTACGCGAATCCAACGAGAAGATCGGCTACGGCCAAATTGATAAGAAGTAAGTAAGTTCGTCTTAGTTTGTTTCGGTGAATCCAAAACACAGCTATGGTGAGAAAATTAGCAGCCAATACGATGAGAGATTGGAGAGTGGAAACACAAAGGGAAGCGATGGTTGCTGTTTGGTCTGACATTAGTATACTGCTGCTGCTGTAGATTGAAGTCTTCGTTAACTTAGTGACGTTTTAGCTCCGTGCACTGTTTAACCGCACCCTGATTGCAAGAATCGAGCAAGAAGATTCTTCGTTATGCGAAAGCCTGTGCTGTGACACAGATTGGTGGCACTAATACATCCACGATTGATGGTTTTCTGTCGTTAAATACCAAAATAACTGACGAGTAAAAATCTTGGAATATTTTATCTTAAATCCTGATTTCTGATTGGCTGAAGCTCTCGCCATCACAGACAGTCATTCGGGACATACAGCTTCTTACAGGGCATAACCCTTTTCCTAGCATTGTCCTTATAAGGCAAAGGTCTAATGGAAACTTAAGTCAACTTGTATATGTAATTACATTATTTTTATCTTTATTATTATTTATGAATATCAATCTTTCTTATTCTTCGTAATCACAATTTGTGAGCTTTTACTGAACCTTCAGTTGTTGAAGTTTGCATCTGTTAATCTTTTTAAGAATGTATTTTTTTATGTTATAGACATTATATCTGAGGTAGTTATAGTTTTAACTTAGGTACCGTTTAGGTTTTAAGGTATAGTTTTGCCGTAACAACAAAAACAAAACTTTAATAATAAACAAATAAAATTACAAAAGTATTGTCCGCAGCTATCAAGACTATTCCAGTCGGGACATTTGCATGCAAAATATAAGAAATAAAGACTAAGGCTATTAACTAAGGAAAGTTTACAGTTAGTTACAAATAAATGAAATAAAAATCGTAATATGGATGAGGACTAGGTAACAGACTAAAGGAAAAAGAATTAACCAAATAAATTGTAAAAGTAGAAACTAATAAGCAAGAATTTATTTTTCGACGTTTTTGGCTAAATTTACCTTTTTAATTAAGGTGGGCGTTTCAATATAGTCATCTTCTGAATTCAGAATATCAAAAAGTAATTTGCGGAGTGTTTTTTTGAACTTATTCTTAGGAAATTGTCGGATGTTACAGGGTATCTCATTCCACAGCGTAGCCCCAAAGCAAGAGAAGGACAGTTTATATAATTCTAGATCGGAACTGTTAACATAAAAATTTCCTGAAGCCGATGCTCTTGTATTATAGTAGTGGCAGTTACTTGTTTGAAATAGATTTAAAATGCCAGAAGGTACCATATTGTTATGGACATCATGCATAAGATTCGATATAGTCTGATAATAGCGGAGCTCTGGCGCGCAAAGCGCGCCTACGGAGCACCATGGGTAAGTAAATCTACCCATACCAGAAAATTTGGTAATCACGTGACCGTACACCGCCCGTCCGTCCGCAGCACAGGGTGACCAATGTTCAGTCTCTTACTTTCTAGCTAGTTTGGGAGCACAGGAAGACTGATATTGCACACACATTGTACATCAATGTTGTGATCAATTGACAGCTGTCAAAACAGGGTATCCGCTGATCAGTATCACCTGACCATATCGCAGGCTCAGGTGTCGACCCATCGAGGTTGAAGTTATCCGCTGACAAGTCACTAGTTTTCAAATGATCGCAGGCTCAAGTTTAATTTTTTTTAATTCATATGAAATATGTTGTGTTTTATATGTGCCGCACAATTAAAATTTTGATTTCAAACTGACCTCTGAAGCTAGAATTCAGCCAGTTTTTACAGGCAGGGAAGACATGCCAGTTGCCTTTGACTTTTCTCTCCAAGGTCACGCGCTGGTCACGCTCTACGTCCAATTTTTATGCTCTGATTGGTCAAAATTTGACAGGTGAGTTCATGCGGAAAATTTATGCAGCATCCTGAAACTTGTTTACTTTGAGAGCTGAAGCTGACAGTTTTGTGTCAGCTTGTGATGTTTTTAACCGTCTTTTTCCACTGGATGTACAAAATGAAATTCTGCTGCTATGAAGAAGCTTCAAGAGTCTTCTGCTATTCACAGCTAGTTTGTTTATTGGGGTTTTGGTTGAGAAATACGTCGCTTATCAAAGTCGGAAATCTGATTTCGGATGGCATCGTTTTCGTTTTTCACATTGCTTGATGCGGAAGAGGGTTGAAAAGTCTGAAGCGATTCTGGCCTTACTTGATAGTTTTCAGTGCATCTCGAATGGTAAGTCAGAGTAATTATTGTATTTGGTTTTTGTTTTTTTATATCTAATTTAATGAAGTCGGGCGCAGTTTATGCGGCTATTTAGTTTATGCACGTTTGTAAGATTTGAGACAATGATCTGACCGAGTGTCAGGTTTGATTATAAGCTTATAGAACTTTAAAAAGCCTTTAGACATTTTCTCACCGCAAACAGAAAGAAAACGTTTCAAAGAATATTTAGCTATAATTCTGGCTGTAAAAGAAAGCTTTGAGCAATTTTCTTGCCTCGAGTTCATCTTTGAAAAAAGCAAACACCGGGAAGCTGGCTTGACACAAACAAGGATTTTCAGAGAAAGTTTAATACTTGTCTTTGTAAATGAAAATTGTTGTCTCTGTATATGTTTCACCGAATTTTTTTTCTTCTTATTGATTGTTAATGGTCTCTTTTGTAATTTTAATCGCTGTGCCGTTTGTTTTCAGTCGCTCATGAACATCGCTTGCAGGAGTACTCAAAATGCCGCGCGTATCAAACGAAAAAGATTTCACATCGTTATAAAACCATTAAACAAAAAATAAACATAATAAATTCTTTATCACGTTGAAGCGTATAACTCTATTAATCTTGATTTAAACAGTCGACTTTGGCGCTTGTCAAAAGTGAGAACCGGCTAGCCGTATATGTAGGTGATTTTGGAATTTTTTTTAGTAAAAGCACACGCGTGCTTCGATCGTGCTGAATCTTGAGTGAGTCCGGGGAGTGTCCGAGGTCTGTATGATAAAAACAGCGCCTCATGGTACTGTTTCATTCAGATGTGATGTATAAAAAGTATAAAAGGTTGGTTTACAAGTCCCCAGACTTGTTGGCAAGATTTTGTAAAGTAAATTATAACCTTGTCGAACGCAAAAAAATCGGCCTGATTTGTTTTCCAAGAATTTGTTTTCCAGGCCTAATCTGTTGTGATCAAGAGCCATTATGGCTGTTAAATGGATCGAAGATGATTGCTTTTCTCTGGGTGTACGTATATAAAGGCTATCAACTCGATCTAAGATTAAGTTCACTATTAGCTTGGACTGTTTGCAAATTATTTTTCTCTAAAATAACTTAGCCTTTCTCTCAAAAGTCACATGAATGTGCTCTAAAGTTGAATGATTTGTGGAATACAATTGCAAGTTTGTTGTTCGATGTAAATTATAAATTCGAGTTAATAGGAGCTTCGCTTTTAGCCCTGGCTAAATCTATATATTATAAGACGTTTAAGGGTAAAACGTTGGCGTCAATGAAGAGAGGTAATGCGTGATCGCGTCTATCCAAGAAGTTTATTATCCGAAGAGCTCTTTTTTGTAGCAATAGAATTTAATTGATATGTGTCTTTGCTTCTTAGCACCAAGCAGCAAGTTCATGTGTAATATACGGATAAATTAGTGATTGATAAATTTTTAGAATAATTTGCCAGGGTACAAAATGACGCAATTTCGCAAGTAAGCCAACCGTTTTGCTGATTTTAAAAGAGACAGTGTCAATTATGATGTTTCCAGGTAAGGTTTTTATCAATCAAAATGCCAAGATATGTAATATATTCCCTGAATTCAAGATTAGCATACTTATTTGTCTCGTTGTCAAAGAAACATATTTTAGGTTTATAATTCGGCTTTTTTTGTTTAGGATGAAAGATTACAAAGTTGGATTTACTAATGTTAAGAGTTAGCTTATTAGACGTTAACCAGTCGTACAGTTTGCATAATTCACTATTGACTACTGTTTCAATAACTTTCCAATTTTTTTTCAGCAAAAAGTATATTGGTATCATCAGCGAAAAGATAAAATTTAAGTTTAGTAGAGCACTGGTAGATACCTTAAACATATAGCAGAAAGAGAAGAGGACCTAAAGCGGAACCTTGAGGAACTCCAAAGCTGATTGATTGATATATGGTCTACAATTTGAGTAGTTGCCGAATATGATGTGATTGTAAGCTCTTAGTTGTTACGTGTCTAAATAAACTACTTACCTACTTACTTACTATATATCCTTGGCATCAATGCAGCGTCTTTTACACCACAAGATTTCTGAGCTAGTTGTTCTGACCGATCGCAACTCTCCTGCACTGGCATTTTCGAGCGTCCTTCCATTACACCGCCTGTTTGCCGATCACCCAGTAAAATTTCACATCTTGGACGACCCTGGAACCTTAACCTTCCTCCTTATCTCACCATGACTCCAACGGAATTACTAAACCTTTCAACCAAGTAGGAAAGATGACAAAACAGACACGGAATCTCCTGTAAGACATTTGGAAATTCAATAATGTTCATTCACCATCGTATGTTATCTGTGGAAGTAAAGTGAATGAGCCACTAGCAAAGGGTACAATAACACCCAGGAAAATTTTTTTAATTCTTAAAAGGCTTGTTTATTATTATTTACAAATAGAATTCGTGGGATCATTATTTATCTAGTTACAACTAGCAACTATGGAAAATTCAAAGCCAGTTTTGTGATGAGGATGTGGAGGTTTTATACAGAAACTTGTCTCGGTAACTTAACATTTATTCAACGAATTAATTTGACTTGTCGATAAGCGAATTAGATTTTCTCCCCAATCGTGTAACTTCTTGATGGCCTGCAAATCCTCAACTTATTTGCGAGTTGCTTTAAAGTCTTCTTGAACACTGCTATTCTAAAGCTGTAAATTATTGGGTTCACGAGAGAATTTGTAACATGTAGGAAATTGGTAACGTAATTCATAAACCCAGGAAGCAAACCGAGCCACAAGTTATTGATGTTGTACAACGTCATGCTTGGAGCCCACAAAGTAACAGATGCGCCTATCACAATAAAGAAAGTCTTGGAGTATTTTGCGTTTTGTTTCACACGCTTTCTACAGACTGCTTCATTGATAACAGGATTTCTGTTGCAAAGTCTTTTACGGA